CTATAACTTGTCGCCTGACAGGATCCTGCCTCAATTACCTGGCCTGCTGTTGCTTCATAGGGGACCATCAAAAAAAGGGAAACAGGTGTGGGTCTTCTTCTGGAGGATATTAATGAAACGGTGTCACAATATCTAAGCTTTTTGGGAATCAATGAGCGCGGTCCAGGATGTCGAGAGGTCTTCTCCTGAGCCCATGGCTCTGACTTCCTTCCTGCGCCAGATCAACGATGACCACAATGCCTATGGTTTTCCTCTATCCGCATCTAGTCTCCAGAAGCTCCTTCAGCAACTCCTGCAGAGGCCTCTCCTGCAGCCCTGCAGCCCCTCCTTCGGCCCCTCCTTTAGCCCCTCCTGCAGTGCCTCCCGCAACCCCTCCTGCAGCCGCTCCTGCAGCCTATCCTTCAACCCCTTCTGCTGCATATCCTTCAGCCCCTTCTGCAGCCCCTCCTGCAGCCTATCCTTCAGCCTCATCTGCAGCCTATTCTCCCCTTCTGCAGCGTCTCCTGCAGCCCTTTAGCAGGTTCTTCTTCTGCAGGGTCTCCTGCAGCCCTGCAGCCCCTCCTTTGGCCCCTCCTTCAGCCCCTCCTGCAGCCGCTCCTGCAGCCTATCCTTCAACCCCTTCTGCTGCGTATCCTTCAGCCCCTTCTGCAGCCCCTCCTGCAGCCTATCCTTCAGCCTCTTCTGCAGCCGATTCTTTCCTTCTGCAGCGTCTCCTGCAGCCCTTCTGCAGGGTCTTCTTCAGCTTCTCCTGCAGCCCTTCTGAAGGGTCTTCTTCAGCTTCTCCTGTGGCCCCTTCAGCCCCTTGCACAGCTCCTAGAGATCCTGCCCCAGCCCCCTCATGCAGGTACTGCAGCTGCTCTAGATCCTGCATGAGCCCCTCCTGCAGGGCCTTATACATCCTCCTCATGAAGTTCTCGTCCTCCAGTAATGCGAAAGAGTGAGCACTCCGATTTGGTTCCCCAAAATGCTGATGTGAGTTTGACTGAATGGGGGAGTGAATGAGGTCATGTACTTGCAGCCGTAGCGCAGGCTGGGACAGGGGACGGTGAAAGTGAAAGTGGTAAAAAACTTGATAGTGAGTGGTGAGGTGTGATGCATCAGGGTCTGCGGGCTGCTTTACCTCAGACCTGGTGCCGAGATCTTACATCGCCTGGGGTGCGCACAATAGCCTCTGCAGGCTGTGTAGCCCAGGCTATCTGGTTAATTAGGATCAGAGGCCCACCTGCGGCTTCCGTGCCAAGTTTGAGCGCTTAGCAGCAAGAGGCTTGCGAGTCATTTGTCAGTTTGTTGCGTTCTCTCTCCTGTTTGCTGTTCTGAACCGTGATAAGTTCTGTACTGTTCTATGATTCACCGTGTTAGTTTGTACTCAATAGTCAATCACGGAGATGAAGAGGAAATTGGTGTGCTGTGGATGTACCCTAAGCAGAGAAAATACACACCCAACTACAATCCATCCAATCCCATCCAATCCAGTAAACCCCTCCACCCACCCAATCCCATCCATCCATCCATCCACCCATCCATCCCATCAAACCCATCCCTCCAACCCATCCCTCCCTCCCCTCCCCTCCCCTCCCCTCCCCTCCNGAGAGAGAGAGAGAGAGAGAGAGAGAGAGAGAGAGAGAGAGAGAGAGGGAGGTAGCGAGGTTACCTGATTGATGCGGTTGGGTTGCGGCTGAGGCTGCACGACATCAGAACTCGATCCCTGTATAATAATAATGTTCTGAAGTGCTTTTCATCTCGTCAGAAGCTATTTTGACACAAAAAAAAGACCGAAAAGAAGAAAAAGAACGAGAAAGCAAAATAACACAGAAGAAGAAGAAAGGGTTTTTGATCCTTTTGAAACGGTTTTTGAACTTCTGGGATGCTATGAGGACTAGTGATGGACCCTTGTCCAATTTTAACCTAGTCTAGCGCAGTCTGCCTGCTTGGTGAGGGTTATCAAGTGAGAGGTTTCTCCTCTGAGGTGGCTTGACAGCTATTGGTATAATCAATGACCTTTCTGACCAATCAAGGAGGCAAAACCAATGAACTTTCCAACTGATCAAGGTGGACTGTTGCTCCCCAGAATGGCAGGAGCCAGAACCACGAGGTTCTGTTGTTAAAAAAAAAAAAAAAAAAAGATCAAGGTGGTGCAACCCTTGAGCTTCCAACTAGAGGCACAATCATTCAGTAAACAGGGACATACAATTGTCGGACTTTCCAATCTGTCAGGGACAAAAAATCATTGAAATTTCAAATTAACGGACATGCATACTTTATTTGTGTCAATGGCCCTGATTGACAGGACAGGCAAGCGCAACACACTTGAAGACAGAGATAAGATGGGGGGGGTCAATTGGAGCTTGCATCGTTGTTGCAATAAAGATCAAACGGTTTTTATTGCTGTTACAGGAGTCTTTGTGCTGGTTATTCTGGCAGTGAGTTCACTCTTTCCTTCCCATTCTCTATCCTCCCTAGGTTCCTGCAATGGTCTTCTCCTCCTCCTCCTCCTCCTCCTCCTCCTCCTCCTTGTACTAACACTCTTTGTCTTCCTCCTCCTCCCTCAACGAGTTTGGCAGTGATGCTTCCCTCCTACCCCGCTCTTCTCCCTCTCTCCCCATCTCTCCCCCTCTCTCTAGATGTGTATAAGAGACAGGTGAAAATGGAGCTGCAGGAAAAAAGAAAAGGAGCAGCAGAGGTCTGGCATATGCATGCAAAACTCTCTCAGAGCACGGAAGAGAGAGAGAGAGAGAGAGAGAGAGAGAGAGAGAGAGAGAGAGAGAGAGAGAGAGAGAGAGAGCAAAGCAAAGCAAAGCAATGTATGGCAGGCTACCTCTCAGCCTTCCTGACTGTCAGATACACTGTACCAGCTACAGCTATGTATCACCGCAAAGTATCTTTGAGCCCACGGCATTGCATTGATTGGTTCTTTTCAGGAACGATTGGCCATTGCCCCTTTCTGATCCTGCAAAACTACCCCTGCTCTTTCAGGAAAGATTGACCATGGCTCCTTTCTGATCCTGCAAAACTACCCTTGCTGGCAGGGGTAGTTTTGGTATTGCGGGATAAGTAAGGAGCAGTCGTCAAAATCGCTCCTGAAAATGGAGCAATCAATGCCGTGGGATCAAGGATACGTTGTGGTGATAAATAGCTGTAGCTGGTAGAGGATATCTGACAGTCAGGAAGGCCGAGAGGAGCACTTAAGATTTTGGAAGGTGTCTTCTTTTCCTACTTGTCCACAATGTCCACAATGTCCACAATGTCCACAATGTCCACAATGTCCACAGCCTTTTAAACAGCCTGACCTCCCATTTGGCCCATATTTTCGGTGCTGCAAATCTTCTTAATCTGATGACCAAACAATCAGTGAAATTCAGACCCATGCCTCGCAGGCAAACGAAGGGGTGAGTGACACAAGCACTGGAAGACGAATATATAACGAACTGGGCCAAATCCAGAAGAGAAATACAAGACAACCCTGATAAGAAGCAGGAACTCACAGAAAAGTTTGCTAAAGGGGTGCTGAGAGTGGGTAGGCTAGGGTCAATAAACCCACAATATATAAAATTTAGCTGGAAGGAAACACAGCCACGAATTGCAGAAACAAAGGTGGACAGAGAGGCTTCTTTTTGAAGCTTACCCAACTCCTATACCCTTGAGAGATGGTTAATGGAAGGCCCAAAATTCGTTTTTTTTCGCCGCATCACCACAAGCAATGTCGTCAAAATTTCACGAACACACAGGGCAGACTCATAATACAATCATAAAAAAAACAAACAGGCAAAAAAAAAAGACGAAAAAATAAAGCTCAAAAGCACTATAAAATTATGAATAGTATAAAACCCTATTCGGAGTAGCTTTTGGAGTTCGCCAAAACATTTTCCGAATTCGGTGTTTTTGCCAACTTTTTTGTTACTGGTCCAAATACGTCGAAACTGAATACAGATATACCCTAAAGCACATACATATCACACACAAAAAAGAAAAACAATGAAATAAAAAACAAAAATTCAGGGAAATATGGCATTTGCGGTGAAAAATTCACCGAAAATGAGTCCACCTATTAACCATTAGTGAGGAGGGGGGTCCGGACCAGGGACACCCAGGAATCCAAGGCTACATCAGATACCGAAGAATATCCACGCAAAGCACCAGTGACTCCGCAGACTTTAAGCCTTTAAGACCTCATCAGGCAACCGCCCAAGGGCGGGCTTAGAGGGAGATTGTTGGCAAAGACAGAAGGTCGCTGACAATACAGAAGAAAGGGGGGCACACAGAGGGAACCAGAAACATCCTAGGGTTTAGGGTTCTATCAGGCTGGCGCCCAGAGGCGGACTGAGAGGGAGAACGCTGGTCTGTTTAGAGCTTGTTTTTTTTTTTGAAGGGGCCTACCGTCCTCACCCAAATAGAATGCCTGGTCGTTATGGCTGTATCTAGCCTGAAAGATGCCTCGAATACGGCTATGATGACCGGGCATTATATTCCGGTGAACACGGTAGTCAACAGTCTGCAAAAATATGGGCTGCAGTGACAGTGAATCCTTCCCACAGGAAGCAATCAATGCTGTCAGAGCTCCATGGGCCGAAATGTGGGGAGGCGTTTGAGTGGGTATTGAAGATGTACTGACTTGCCGGTGGAACAGGAACCGGACTGGCGCTCCCCAGAATAGAAGAAGCACGGCTCGAGAGGTCTATGTTCAAAAGAAAAAAAAGATTGTCGCAGGTGTAGAGAAGCTTCTGAGGTTTATCTGGTAGCACAGGGAGCTGAAGGGATAGATTCACATTTTGGCAGGGGTGGAGGAGGGATACATCCTCCTTTCAAAAAGGCGTAATCATCAATGCCGCTGTCTCAGGGTCCTTCAACCATAGTGGCAGGAAGCATTGAGTGAGTCAGCCATGTAAGGGATGCTGGACCTGTTTTTCGGCACATAATCATTTTTTTTCTTAAAGAGAACAGAAATGGAAGAAAGAAAGATGGTGGGATCGAATCTGGAGACAAGTCGAAGTAGGCACTAACTGGCCATGGAACTAGAGAGCAATATTGTGCAGATTATGGTATCCTCCACAGGCCAGCGCCTCCACCACTGTTATGTTCTGTCTGGGGAGGAAGGTGGTCCTCTCTGGGCTCTCTTGTGGAAAAGATGCATTTATAAGATGGAAGGGACGAGACTAGAGGGGGAGGAATTTACAGAGGTAAGTAAACTGCAGATTCAAACAGAGTTAATAGTCAGTTGGCAATCAGTGAAAGCAAACTTGGATCTATCAAATGAAAGAGCAGATACTCAAAAAGAAATCCAGGCCTTCAGAAAGGACTGGATCGAGGAAGGAGGGGAGGGGGGGG